TAAGGAAATGGGGGGTAATTTTATGATTTGATATCTTAAATTTTTTTATCTAGATGGCAGAAAGAATGTAGAGAGGCTAAAGCTACAATTGATAGAGAAGCATAATCTGTTATTAGTGAAGATGAGGGACATTTGGTTATTTTGCATGGTTTTGACAATGCTATTCTTTTTGTCTGCATTCACACGTATAAAGTTGTTTTTGTTGTCTTGATTTATCAGGACCATGAGGTGGCCTTGTCTGATGTCGGCATTCTTAGTGATTGTTCATATTCAAAAAGAGAACATCACAGACTAGCTGCGATATCAGGGTAACAACTAGCAACTCCAAGCCTTAACTGAAGCAACAATCCAGCTCCTGGCTATCAGCATCTGCTTTATTTTCTCAAATGATTATAAACAGAGACATAACAAGACAGTACTTATGGTTTAATAAGTTCACTTTGGCAGAAGTGATGTGAAAACTTCTCAAGGAATATGACAGTAGTAGCAGGGAAGACCACGTAGAGAATTGTCATCTTAAACAGAGGTAATCCATAATATTAGATTTAACCATTGTTGGGGGCCTGGGAATGAATAGAAAGAAACCAGTTTCAAGAGCTGTTAAAGGAGCAGTATTAATTGAATTTGTCTAAGGGTGGAGTTGTGAATGGAGTGATAGAGAAAAATCTAGACAACCCAGTTAGCTTTTAGGTTTCTGGATGAGGTGGTTTCAAGCGTGAAAGGTAAGAGAAAGAACAAAGAAGGTCTGGAGAGATAATGAGGTTTATTTTAAGTTTTCAGGCATACATTCCACTAAAGTTGTCTGGGCTTTAAAGGAAAAAGATGAGCTAAAAATACATATTTAGGGGTCATTAGAAAATACATGCTATTTGAATTGGAGGAAATGAGTATATCCAGAAAAGAAAAACAAGGGAAGGACTGTGGAGAATGTCAATATTTAAAAAAAAATAATTGGAACAAATGGCCAAAAATGCAGAAAAAAAAGGTAATCAGTAAATACTGGTTTCCCATATGCCAAGAGAGCAGAGAATTTCATGAAGGATAAAGAGGTTAATAGGGTTTAGTTCTTCGGACAGGTTGAGAAAGATAAGGTACAGAAGTATTCATATGTGTGTTTATGGAGAGGAAGCTTTTTACAAAGATGAAAAAAACAGCCTACTTAAAGGCTGATGATAAAGATCCAGAAAATGGAGAGAGATTGTAGATATGGGTGTGTAGCTGAATGGAAGCAGGTGACTTAGTACATCGACAGAAATGGTATTGAGATTACGCACAGAGATTTTCACCTTAACTAGCTAAAGCACAGCCTCCTCTGCTAAGACATTTGGAAAGAGAGACTATGAACACAAATACACATAATTTGAGAAATAATATTTTGACTAAGTAGAAGGCACATTTGTCTCCTGTGAGTGGTGGGAAAGATTTTGGAGACCCATAAAGGCTTGAAATAATTGTTGAGAGAAAGTGAGGAGAAAATCTACTAGGGATGCATGGAAAGCTGATGAAGAAGTACCAATAACTGTTAAAATGTGTCCTGTAAGAAATGGAGTAATGCCTGGCAATGACAACATGTACAGTATAATCATGTGTTCAGGTGGCTGAATTTAGGAGATGAGGGAAATGGAAGGTTTTGATGACAGTAGGACAACCCACATGAGTGCTGATATTGCTAAAAACAAACGTAAAACTTTGGTGGGAAAGACTGAACCTATTGCCAAAGTCTTCAATTAGAAGATAATGTAATAAAATGTTGAATGATAGATGGCCACTAGGTGTGAACTGCAAGGGAGGAGATACTCCTTATATAAGCAAAGAGGCGTATCTTCGGAATCGGCTCTGTGATGTGAGGAAACCAGTAATTTGAAAGGACTGGGGGTGCAACAGAGGGATTAGTTAATCATAGTGATATTTTTGAGGGTAAAAGTGGTTTCCCTGTATGAATAGAATCAGTATATAGGACAGGAGATTTATCTTGCAAGAAGGGTTTCAGAGTGCAGAGTGTGTGAAGGCACAAAGCAGAGGAAGTGAGGCAGAGGAAGGGGAGTACAGAGAGCATAGAGACGAAGATATAAGAAAGGAGAGATGAATAGAGGTACCTATACTCTGGGTGGTAAACAGATAATAGAGATAGAAGAAAAGGTAGAGTTAACTGGCCTGAAGATTTCCAATGGAACTTGATATCGATGTACGCAGGCATAAATTTCAGAAAGAGCCCAAGGTCTATTGACCATAATAGATTGGTAGGAAGGCTATTTAGAGAACCTTGTGCAGGCTCCAGATTCTCAGACACCTTATCACATCAGCTTGTGGTCAGAGGAGGCTATTTTGTTGTTTTATTACTAATTTACCTTACCTTGTACTCACTTCAAGAATTTGCATAGCTAGAATCTGTTAATTCAGTTAAAAATTCTGAACTGTGGTGACATTAACAGAAAGAGAGCGAATATCTGGGAGTCTGGTAAAGGCCCCAACTGTGTCCTAGAATATTGATTCTGAAACCTTCATGTGCATATGAATCACCTGGGAAACTTGTTCAAATACAGTGTCCAATTCACTAGGTCTCAGACGCTACATTTCTAAAGCTCCTAGATAATGCCAATATTGGTTGTCCAGGAACCACACTTTGAATAGAAAGGTCCCTTCAAACTTAGCTTTTAAGTAAGTGCGTTTTGTTAGTTACATGGATAAAACACACGGCCAATAGAGAAAGAAAAAATTATGCTTGGGTTTAAAAGCATCACTTTTGAAAATACATGAAACTGAACTGATAATGGCCTAGGATATTCTAATCGGCTAAAAGCACTTGAAAGGAATGAATGAAAGAAGGCATTAAGTGAAAGCAAAAAAGAGCTGGTAATATTTAGCCATTTTTAATGGATGCCTAAAAATGAATTAATACCACTCGAGTTCATGAGATAATCCTCCCATGAGTTCAAAATAACCTAATAAACTGATAGGTGAAGAAATAAGAAAATTAATGTATGCCTAAACTGCATATCCATCATCATTACTATGTATTTCTCTCAAGGATTTTTAATACATGTATATTATTTTTAGCCTGAAGAAACTGCCTAGGTAAATCATTTCATGTCCTATTTTACTAGGCAATTAAAAATAATGTCATTTCAGAAAATATGAGTTCAAGTTGATAAAGGTGACTTAAGAAGCATCAGAAAACCACTTATACAATATTGTACATTTTTTAACACTTTCAGTCTGTCATGCTGACACTATTGATTAAATGCAAATTGCTTCTAGGTAACCATATGATAACAGGAAATTTTTGAATTTATTTTCCTGAAATTCTGGGACTCAATTTTCCTGCTTGATTGAAGCTGTTTTAAGATACAGAAATAGGATGAGAAACAGATAACTATATGAATCAGGTCGATACAGAAATTTTAATTGGCTAATAAAATGCCCAAGGTGATTCATACTTTCAGTGGTTGAATATGCACACGATCTTTGAAACTTATTTAGAGTGTATCTTTTCTAAATAATTTCATACTCACAGAATTTACCTCAAAAATCATGACAAATAATATACCTTCAAATAAGTATACTTTGAAAAGACAGTTAGCTAAATTTCTGCTATTTACCCTATTATCCTTCAGTTTAATTTTAAAACTAGAACATTAACTTATAATCAATTTCCTAATTTTAAATTACTAAGAATAGTTTATTACAATGCTAAAAACAGCACATCTTACAAAGCTAATAAGAAATTCCAAACAACTTTCAATTTATAAAAATAAATTGTTAACTCTAAGAACTGTTGACAAAATTATCTCCCCCTCCTCAAGCAGCCTAAAAATATTTTCTCCCAGATCTTTTGTTGTTGTTGCTCTGCAAAAGTTTCAACCCTACAACAAACCTTAGCTATATCTGAGGTAGTGTTTTACTACGGTTCTTCAAAAAGTTCGTGCAAAAAAAATGATTAAAGGATAATAAATAAAGCATAAAGCTCATATATTCTTCTTAAAGTAAAAAAAAATAGTTTAGAGTGAAAAATCTAAAGAAAACAGATAATATGAATCTTTCCATAAGTTTTTTGAAGACCCCTCGTATTTGGAAAAATGTAATAGATTTTGCAATTCATGAATTACAAATTCCTGGGAAGATAAGGCGCAGCTGATACACATACTTACATGTGACCTTTCTTTGGCTAAAATTACTTGACATTCTTAATATTTGTTTCTGTAGCTTGCTCATTGTAAAGTATTTACTCTACCTGTTAGAAATTCTCTTACAACCTGCTGCCAATTATATACCAAAAATGGATGTTTTATAATCATTGAAGTTGAAAAATCAAAGCCCTGATAATTTCCCTGAAGATAAAGCAGTTCTTATTTAATTAATAAAATTACTGTAGTGAAGGTCAAAACTATAATGTCCCAGAAGGGAATAAAAATAGCACACCATTTGTTGTAAGTAAATACTGAGGCTGGACATCATTTAGTTAATACATAAATATTTGGGAAATATAAATATGTTATAATTTATGACAGATATTAATAACTATAAAGAATAACTTTCTGATGATAGTGAGAGATATCTGATAGTGAGAGCAAAAGCAGGGTTCTGAATATAGTATTTTAAAGGGTTTGTTCTATTATTCTACTCTTTTTTATTTTATTCTACTCTATTCTATTCTGCAAATTTGTTACGGACCAGCCTTGAAGTAACAGAACAATATGTGAAGGAATTTCAATATGAGTTCATGCTATAAAATTGTTAATTACAGCTATGTAATACACAAGTTTAAAGAGGTTTATGAAAAGCATTCCTGGTCAATCACAGCAGAATATGGAAAGATTTTTGTAAGCTAAGCTAAACTTTGATTTTGCTTGCTCCCTAAAACATATTTTAAAGATGTATTAAATGGCTCCATATCATGTTGCTTTAATTCTGTCAACTCTAATAGAAGCAAAGATAACAAAGCATAGCATTTACAAGCAGCACGAAATAGAAAAATGTATAAAACTTAATGCATAACCTACATTGACTTTTTCTTTAAGGTCTGAAAAGCTGCCTTCCTTCCGATAGATTGCAAATTCAGGACTCAGCAACACAGCTTCCGAGCGAGTAATCCAACTATGAAGTTCAGTTATATCAACATCCAACCTAAGACGGCAAATAATAAAGTTCATTATTTCTTGATCTTCTCTTTCTTCTACATGAAAAAAAGAAAGCAATTTATCCACATTTATCATTCTGCTCCTAATCTGAGACTCCAGCCTGATGACCCTATTTCTTTTAATATCACCACTACTTCCCTCATCAGGTAGGCTCAAACTTTGGAGTCAGCTTTGATCTAGAGTCTTAATGATCATGGAGATAATTTTATTCACCTGAATTTAGCATTCACCTGTACAATATCTCCTAGAAGCTATTATCCAGCCTCTATTTGAATGTTGGCATTGCTTGAAAAATTACTACTTACAAAGATGACCCTATTTCTTTTTGAAAAGTACTTATAAGAAACTAAAAATTCCTGTTCGTGGGTTCCATTGAACCACACCTCGGATATTCATGAACTTGTGTATTCTCCAAGCATACTGACTCTGAGTTTGGCCATGTGATTTGCTATTGCAAATGGATATTAGTAATAGCAAGGCAAGTAAGGGCTTGATAAGTGCTTGCACATTGGAGCTTGTCCTATTACAACACACCCTGAGAATGCAACTGTTATATAAGAAGTCCAATGACCCTGAGGTGACCATGCTATAAGGAAGCTTGACCTATTCAGTAGGCGAGGCCACATTAAGGAGCATAAGATTTCAGGCATGTGAATAAAGCCTTCTTTGACCTGCTGATCTGTCTCATCACCCACTGAATACAGCCAAATGAGCGCTCCAGTTGATGCCACACAGAGCCAAATAAATGCTCAAAGGGCCCTGCCCACATTGTAGAATTGTAAGAAATGATGTATAACTGCTGTTTTGAGCCGCTAAGTTTTGGGGTGGGTCTCTATGCTGCAATAAATGTTTAATCACCTACCCTGTTATTTTTAAACATTCTTTTTTTTTTTTTTTTTTTTTTTCAGGGATCTTGGAGCTACTGGGAATAAACTATTCACCCTGATTAGGTGATTCAGGTCTACAATAACCAAGATATGAAATCAACTTAGGTGTTCTTTGATGGATAAACAGATAAAGAAAAGTTGGTGGCAAATATACTATTCACCCTTAAAAAAGAAGCAGATCTTGTCATTTGCAACAATATGAATAAACATAGAGGATACTCTCTTCAGTGAAATAAGTCAGACACAGAAAAAACAATTACACATTATCTCACTTAAATGTGGAATTTAAAAAGGATAACTCATAGAAGCAGAGAGTAGAATGGTGGTTACCAGGGGCTGGGGGATGGTGGGGGAGACGTTGGCCAAAGGATAGAGAATTTCACTTAGGAAGAATAAGTTCAAGCGATCGATTGTACAACATGGTGACTATAGTTAATAGCAATGTACTCTATACTTAAAAATCATTAAGAAAGTACATTTTAGATGTTCTCATCACAAAAAAATGATAAGTATGTGAGGTAGTGGATATGTTAATTAGCTTGATTTAGTTATCCACAATGCATTTATATATCAAAGCATCATGTTGCACACCATAACTATGTACAATTTCTATTTGTCAACTAAAAATAATAAGGGGTGGAGTAAGGGTACAAAACTATGCTATCTACCCTAAGGATTTACTGGCAGTATATTCATGTATGGAAGCAATACACCGTACCCCACAAAAATAAATATAAATAAAATTGAAAATAAATAAATAAATTCTAAAAATAAATTTAATTTTTTTTAAAAGCACAGATTTTAGAGAAGTCATGGATGGGTTACAATGGTGAGGGGATATCTAAGAAGAACTTGAAATTCCAGGCACAATTCTGAATTTGTGTACATTTTTCTTAAGAAAGCACCCTTAGATTTTACTAACATCAATTAAGGATCTATGAAAAGGGAATTTAGAACTCATCAAATCCAACAGTTTACTAAACAAAGCAAAGCAAAGCAAACCAACAAACAAATGCCGCCCCCCCAAAATAAATGACTTTCTTAATTTTCATAGGATATTTGTGGAACATAACAAAAGATACAAGATTTATAACACCAAGAAAGACACTTTAATCACCATGCTATACTTTCTTTTTCATTACAATACTTAAACATCTTAAATCAGCTCTTTATTTTTTTTTATTTTTATTATTATTACTTTTTGTTCCCTATTGTATTCCCTAGAAGAGATTGTGTAGAATTGGTGTTATTTTTCTTTAAATGTTTGGTGGAATTTGTCAGTGAAACTATCTGGACATGGAGAGTTCTTTTTCAGAAGGTTTTTAACTATGAGTTCAATTTCTTTCTTTTTTTTTTGGTCTTTTTATTTTTTATTTTTTTATTTTTTTTATTTTTTATGTTCATTTTTTTAAAATTTTATTTTGTTGATATACAATGTGGTTGATTATTGTGGCCCATTACTAAAACCTCCCTCCCTCCTCCCTCTCCCCCCTCTTCCCACCCAACAATGTCCTTTCTGTTTGCTTGTCGTATCAACTTCAAGGAATTGTAGTTGTTATGTGTTCTTCCCCACCTCCCGTTTGTGTGTGTGTGTGTGTGTTCGTGTGTGTGTGTGTGTGTGAATTTATTTATTTATTTTTAGCTCCCACCAATAAGTGAGAACATGTGGTATTTCTCTTTCTGTGCCTGACTTGTTTCACTTAATATAATTCTCTCAAGGTCCATCCATGTTGTTGCAAATGGCAGTATTTCATTTGTTTTTATAGCTGAGTAGTATTCCATTGTGTAGATATACCACATTTTCCGTATCCACTCATCCGATGATGGACATCTACTAGAAGATACCTGATAATCAGCCTACTCTACTCCTGGTTACTTCAGTAGATACTCCATGGTTTGTCACTATCTTAGTTTTCTTAAAAGTTGGCACCTAAAGGGAATATATCACCAGTGTGTTGTATAAGCAAGGAAGAATAGACAACTGTCTTCCTGGTTCACAATACATTCATTGATGCAGCCTATGATTTTAATCAGTGTTTTCACTTTAATATTAGACTTTCAACTCACAATTAAGTGAAATTGAGCTAAAACATCTAAAAGTTTTTCATATAAACTATCATTAAGCCAGCTCTATCGCAACTTATTAACTAATAAAAACTTATGAACTGATTTCTTGAACTTGAATTTCAAGGATTTAAATCCTATAAACCTGTTAGAATTTTTCACATTGGTTGCAGGCTATTGTTTTAAAATTAAAGTGATATAGAGCTTCATGGAACACATAATCCTTACAAAAACATATACACATTTTGTATTTTTGCAAAATCCTGTGGTTCGTCATTACCAATCCTCCTGCCCATATAAGGAGATAGAGGCTATGAGAAATTAAGTTAATTGACCTCAGACTTGTAGTATCATGGGTCAGGAAATTAATTCATCTAGTTCACTATTATGTCTTTCACCTCAAAGAGAGACTGGTTCATAATAATACCTATTTACTGAGTTGTTACTTACCGAGGCTACCCAACTAGAAATTGAGGGAACAGAGACCTGAATTCCTCCAGACACTATGTAACTGAATTATAGTACTTTCTTTCATTAGTTTATGTTTTGTAAATATTTGTGTATTTTTATTTTATCATACATGATTTTTATCATCTTTCCTACATTTGTTTTATACATAAATTTAATTATTGAGTCTTGTATTTCTTCATTTACAATTTTGACTAAAAAGAAGAGTTCTTTTGCATGCTGTAGAAATTCCCACCCCCCCATTAATGTTAACTGATTAAATCAGTACTATTTGACCATGGTCATTTAATTACCCACTAAATCCGCTGAACCACATTATATTCCAATCAACATTTACGAATGTTTGCCGTTAGAATCTCTTGAGAAAGACATTTTTGTTTTTCCTTTGGCTCAACATAAAAACGCCTGTCTCTCTCTGCCTGCAGGCATTCTCTTGCCAGTGCATGAGACAGAGCAGGTCTCCTGGGGTGTTAATACTTCAGAAATGACCCCTAACAAGTAAGATCATGGTGCTGGTGGATAAATATTCCAGCTCCTTGCCCCTCAGTTGAACAATCCTGAAGTATGTTACATGCAGTGTCTCAGAGGGTTCTTAGCAGGGTTGAGCCTCAGTTGCCCCCAGCAATAACCTGACCACTGCTCCTAAATAATCCTTTATTGGTTGCATTCTTTTCCTTACCTCACTTCCCTGCTGCACTTCCTGGGATCACTTTCCAAATAAACTACCTGTACCTAAATCCTTGCCTCTAGATCTACTCTTGGTGCAACCCAAACTAAGGCAAAAATCAACAGCCTCAAATGAACCCAGCTCCTGCCATGCTTTTATTGATTGATTGATTGATTTATTTATTTATTTATTTATTTATTTCAATTTGAGCTCTGACTCTCCCCAGGAATGATTAAAAACTTTTTTCCAAAGCTCTCAAAGCTCTAATCAACACTTTCTCTTGCTCTCTCAGCAGATGACCTTGTTCCATACCTTATAAAATATAAACATCAGACTAGAATTTCTTTCACTAGAATTTCTTTCACTTGCGATGTCCAAATATTCCATCTTACTTGCATATGCAGGCACCGTTTTCATTGCTTTCTCTTACATTTTAGTGAGTTTCCTTTTCTTTTCAACCTAATGTCAATCCCCTTACTGGCATTTTGGATTTCATTCTCATACTTCCTCTCAGTCATCTGGGTCTATCAATTTTTTATTATCTAACTACTAGAAATTCAACACCTCTCTCAAGTGCATTACTCATATGAAAATCTAAACATACTTTATTGACTCCTATTTTTTTAATCAACCCTTTCTCGTCTCCTATATTCCCCTCTATCCATTCTGTTATATTCTGCAAAGGCAAACTTTCTGCAAGAGTTTTCCAGTTTACTGAATAGGTTTCCCACTTTCTATTCACTCTTTAATTCGTTCATATTGTTTCTCTACAAAAGCAGAGTTGATAAAGTGATCATGATAAAGTGAAGCCAATGGAGAGTTTCACTTTCTCTTGGCCACTGCTGACTATACCATCCTTTTTGGAATTCTCTTTTGCCTTCATAATGCCACTCTATTCTG